GGAATCCAAGACTTCGACTTTGTGCCTTGCCACTGTGTCTGCGTCCGACCCTCAGTCCGAGTCCGTCGTGTCGAGTGAGTGAGTGTGTGTGTGTGCTCTCACTCTCTCCCTCTCTCTCCCTCTCTCTCATCTCCCTCGGCTCACCCTCAGCCTCACGCTCGTTACACCTACGCTGTCTCAGCTGGTACACCCGCAGGCTGTTGAAAAACAGGCCTGTGGGACCAGCACCCGTGGGCTTAGCTCAGTTGGTACACCCGCAGACGGTTGAAAAACAGTCATGTGTGATCACCATCTAAGTAAGCCGGTTAGTATACCCACGAGCTGTTGGAATAAAGGTGGGTGAGTGGGAGCTTGCGGCGCAAGCTGAAATACCACTACTTTTATTTTTATTTTTATTTTTATTATTATTTCACTTATTTCGTGAGGTGGAGCTGGGACTTTGCCCCTGCCTCGGTCCAAGGTGCGGGTGCTCGTGGCCTGCCTGATTCAAGCACTGTCAGGTGGGGAGTTTGGCCGCGTAGACACGTCCATACAGGCGTAGCGCAATTGTCCCGAAGGGAATTCGAGAGTCGGTGGGTGCATAGCCCACAGGGCAGAAGAAACCTGAGTGGCAGGGACTCCCTGCAGACTGCAGGTGCACCATCTACCAACTGTGGTCTGCTGCCGGAGAGCATGCCCATTGGACCAGACAGACGGGAACGCGCCCGGATTGCGGGATCGCGACTGCAATGTTGCCTGTATAGGACGACGCACTTTGTAGTATCGGGGTTGGCACGCAGTTTGGCACCTATGAGGGCCTGAGACGCTATGATGAGGGCTGCAGCTATACTGACGTGCAAATCGTTCACTGGCGTGTGGTATGGGGGCCGGGAAACTAGTGGAACCAGCTGGCAGCCGCCCCCCCCCCTCGATATGGCTCACGGCGGAGCTTTCATGTGAAAGGAAGTTGGGCCTGGGTATAGGGCCGAAAAGCCCAGTTGAACCAGGCCAGTAGTTGGTTCCTTGCGAAGTTCTGCTTGGCGTATCCTGAGCTGTCGAATTTGCGTCGTGCTAAGCAGCGCAAAATACTGCGCTAAGAAGCAACGGAGAAGGAGATGTCGGGAGAATCAAGAAAGAAGAGGAGAGAGAGAAGAAAAGAAAGGTAGGAAGGAGAAAACGAAGGAAGGAATGAGGCTGATGAGAAAGAGAGCGGTAGGCAGTGGTGGAGGCGAGTGAGAGGGAGACAGAGCAGGCAAAAAGGAGGTGCGTGAATCTAGCCGAAAGTCAGACCAGATACGCGAAGACAAAGGAGACAGGGAAATGACAAGGGTGAAGAAGGTGCTTCACGCCCGTTCCTCGATGGGAACAGTCGAGTGAAGATTCGTTTCCAACGTTTTAGCCCCGGGCGAATCTATTGGTGAGGTCAGAATGGTGGGGGAAGGTGTGTATAAGGTGATAGAAGAGAATGTGACTGCGCGGAGGGTGTCGGGAAGAAGAGTGAACGAGATTAAAAATTAGTTTACTCTGCCATTCCACGGCCGTTTTTGACAAACAAGGATGCTAAACGGGGGTTTTGGATCATTCTGAACGCATTCGTCACGTCAGAATTGGGATCTGGGAAGAGCTTGGTCCGGTTCAACTAGCAGGTGCTGCGCGGTTAAAATATGATAATGTATCTTCCCAATTTTTTGGGAAAGTTCATTCTCATTTTATCCAATTGAGAGGGGTAGTGAGCACAGCGCGTCTCCATTCATTACCATTATCATCATCCGATCATCAAGGAGGCCTTTTTCTTCGTAAGGGAGGTAGTCTGCTCCGTAGTAGGTGAGGTGGCAGCATTCAAGATCAGCTTGGTGTCCGCGGTCTTCATGGTAATAAGTCGCCTTCGCCATTTCAACCAATCTCGTAATATTCAACAACGAGTGCCTGCGGTGATGCGCGCAGGAGGGTGAGGGGGGATGCACCGGATTGAAAGGAGAGGGTAAACAAAAGCGGGTCTTATCGAATCTCTCGCTGCTACATCGGTGGACAGCCATCCCCTCCTCTAATGATTACTGTCATTGTTCCACCATAGTTGTCGTCATTACCCTGATCCTACCATCACTGCCATAGCCATCATGATTCTGATCTTCGCTACTGTAGTTGAAGTCGAAGCTCAGAAACCAGGTGGTTGCTTCCTTCATACAAAAGGTGAGGCAAAAGCATGAATCTGGCCTGGTCGAAGTGTCGGCCAGATACATAGGCCGGAGAAGAGGGGAACTAGCCGCAAGAAGTAGGGGCGCACGCAAGAGGGTGAGGGGGAAGCACTTACCTTAGAAGAACTGGCGGTGCTGGTCACTACCGGATCATTCCGAAGACGAGCTGCTGTGCAAAACTGTTTGCTGACCCAATACGGATTGACGACGCATCTGACAGAATTCTAGCGGAAGGTTCACTCCTTTTTTTTGCATATTCGGGGGGGTGTGGGGCATGAACACAGTCACGTATGTCAGTTGTCCCGTGATATGCTTTTCCATTAGATCACAGTCCTTGCCTTCATGTTGCTCATAGTCGGGACTTCGGTCGTATCGCCCGGTGGTGTGGTGAGCGTTGTTTATCAGGCATGGTCTGCTGATTGGGATGCTAACTAGTGGAGAGACGTTTGAAAAGGCCGTGTATTTACCAAGTCTGCTGTTGCAAATGTGTTCATGAGCTGCCTGCTTATTTTCATGCCCGCTGTCATACTAGTGGCCGTAATACCGAGGCTGAATACTCAAGTAGTTCAACAAGGTCTACTGAGTCGTGACTTCAGATGCTATTGGTAGGGAGTGGTGTTTTGGGCTGTTGAGGCTCAGCACCAGCACCGCCATTGTGGGCTCAGGCGGTGATGGTGTGTGATCAGTAAATAACAGGTTACTGCTACTTGCTTCCGGGCAAGGCTGCTACTGTTCTCATCAAAAGGTTGAAACGAGATAAAGCAACGTTATATTCTGAGCTATGACACTCATTGACCGTTTTCAGCAGGCTGTTAATGCTGCTGTATTACTGAAAATTGCCTTTTCACACTACAAGTTTTTTCTGGCTACGCTATGTCGCTTGCTGTGATAACTTGCGGCTGTTGTTTGCCAATTGCTGTTGAGAAAGCAAGGCCTTTTCCATCCTTCAGCATTTGAGAGCATTGTGCTAGAGGCGTCAGGAAGGGTCATCACTGAGAATCAGTGTGAACAGTTTGGAGGGCACATACCTGTGCATGGTGACAGTCCGCGCGGTTGCCATATAGACATACTTTCGGTTGTCACTGCTGATGTCCACGGCGGTTTCAAGTGGACGAGTGACACAAGTAAGCGCCACTGTCAGGGTAGGTGTTTTGGGTGTCAGCTGCTGCGGTATCTTTGAGCACTGTTGCTATGTACTGGTGCAAGGGTTGCTAATCGTTGGGATGTGCCGCTGGTGTTCTGCGGAGTACTGCAACTGTTGATCCTCGGGCCACTTGTTGCAGCAAACTGGAGACTTGCTGTTGGACTGTGCATACTCACACAGTCAGAGAGGAAGATGCAGCAGATCAACAGCAGACAGGGGATTTACTTGTTGGGCTGTGTGTTGCTCACACAGTTGAAGGAGCAGCAACAGACCAACAGCAGACAGGGGATTTACTTGTTGGGCTGTGTGTTCCCAATGTATCGGCCCTGCCTTTGTGTATGTGTGCCCAGGCGCAACTGTCAAGGCCTGGGCCAACTGTATGACGCAGCAATGTGGGGCTCACGCGTTTTCCCAACCAACTGGCGTGCTGCGAGAGCCTGAATACCCACATATGAAAATGTCGAATTTGCCTTTGACGAATATTCAGGCCCGCCTTCACTTAGGGCGGGCACTAACCTTGCTGGGGGCCTTAGCCCAGAACAATGTGATGTCTGATAGGGCCCCTTGAGGGCTTGTTCCTCACATTCCATCCCCCTTAGCTTCGAAAGTCTGCTGAGATGCTTCATGCTGGTGCCTTCCCCTTCAGTTTCTTCTCATAATCTGCCACAATCTGAGGAGCTGTCTTGACAAATTCCTCCCTTGAAATCCATCGATCTTCCTTCTGATCCGTATGATGCCTAAAATGTACTTTGTATTCCCTCGCAGGTTTGGGAGGTCTTCCCCTGCCAGGAGGCTTGGGAACAGGCGTGTCTCTGTGATCCAGGATATCGTCGACGTCCACGTGGCCATCCATGGTTGGGGGCAGCATATATCTCCGTGATGGGAACTGTGCTGTCTCAGCGAAAGGTGCAAGCTTGGAGGTGTGAAAAACAGGGTAAGTGCGTAAGTGACCAGGGATACGAATGACGTACGAGGGACCATCCAAATCATTACCATGTCCAGGACTTCCCAGGGACCGAAATATTGAGGCATTCGTTTCCTAGAGATGCCAAACTCCTGTCCCAACTCACTAGCCTTGACCCAGACACGTTCCCCTACCTGAAATGTGGACTGTCGGCGACGTTTGTTCTCAGAAGCAATCATGACTTCTTGAGATTTCTTGATGTGTTCGACAGTCTGCTGCGTCAGTTTCTCATACTCTATACCAAATTCAATGGTTCCTGGAGTTGCAGCAGTTCGGTTTTCAAGCAGGAGGAAGTCTAGAGCAGATCTAGGCTTCCACCCCAGATGCAGTTGATTAGGACTGCCGCTGGTGGTGCTGTGTACAGCGTTATTGTACAGGCTGGCGATGAGAGGTAATTTCTCATCCCAGTCATCCTAGCTGGGCTTGATGTAATGCCTCAGCAGATGCTACACCACTCGGTTCATCTGTTCAGCCTGCCCATTTGCTTCGGGATGGTTCCCAGAAGTCATCTGAAGCTGACTGCCAATCTGTTCAGTGGCCTTCTTCCACATCTCACTGGTGAAACGTACATCTCTATCACTGACGATCGTTTTCGAAAGTCCAAAGTCACGCACCCAGTTGTCCATGAACAACTTGATAACGTGCTCAATCCTGGCAGTTTCTGACATGGCGATTAATCTAGCGTACTTAGTGAACCTATCCACTATGACGAAGATGTGCCTCTTGCCATTCTTGCTGGTCACGAGAGTATCCATGAAGTCCATGGACATACTCTGTCCTAGGCCAGCAGGAATGGGTAGAGGCTTGAGTAACCCAAGCGGAGCTTGAGTCTGCGGTATGTACGTACTTCTTTACATCGTCCAACATATTAGGCCACCAAAATCGCTGTACTAGGTTAACACTAGTCTTCTTATAGTCGAAGTGTCCCGTTGCGTCGTGGCATTCTCCTAAAAACAAACTACGCAAATCTTCCCTAGATGGAACAACTAGTCTTTTAAACCCTGCCTTCTCAAGAAAGAGCAGCCCATCCACCATCACAAACTCATCAGTGGTGGCCTTGTCTTTAGCCTGTAGTTTGTTGATGATGTCCATCGTGATGGGATCTTCCTTGTAGGCTTCCTCCAAAGATCGAGTTACATCCTCAGATAGGCCAAACTCAGAAATCAGCGCACCCAGGTAATCTGCCCTTCTAGACAATGCATCTCCAACCTTGTTGTACTCTCCCTTCACATAGTCTAGCTTGAAGTCATACTGATCTATGACTTCAATCCAGCGTTTAAGTGCATCGGAGAGAACCGATTGTGTCTTGATCCACTTGAGGGTCTGATGGTCAGTTCTCAAATAGAAGAACCTTCCTAACAGATAGTGCCTCCAGTGGACAAGTGCCTTGTAGAGAGCATAGAGTTCCCTCTCATAGGTGGATTTTGCCAACTTCTTTGATGGCATCTTTTTGCTTATGTACTCGACCGGTCTCAACTTTTTCCCGTCCTGCTGAGCCAGCACTGCGCCAATGCCGTATTGGCTTGCGTCAATGGTTACAACAAATGGCCTTTGTGGGTCGGGTACCGTGAGAACCTCATGGTGCGTGAGGGCATGCTTCAAACGTTTGAACGTTGCCTCACACTCGTCGGTCCAATCCCATGGTGTGTCAAGTCGAGTTAGATCAGTCAAGGGAGATGCAATCGTGCTATAGTTCTTCACGAAGTTGCGGTAATAACCACACATTCCCAAGAATGATCTGCCCTCAGTCACAGACTGGGGTCATGGCCAGTCCCTAATGCTAACCACTTTCGTATCTTCGGGCCTAATCCCGTCCGCAGATACTTCATGACCCAAGTACAAGATTCGAGTGCGACCGAACTTGCATTTCTCTGCGTTTATCTTATACTTGTGTTGCCGAAGGAGTGAAAGTACTTTGTCTACATGTTGAGCATGCTCCTCGACAGTTCTACAACGAACTTATCTAAGTAGCTATGGAAAATCCTATTCATGGCGTGCTGGAATGTACCCGGCGCATTGCAAAGGCCAAAGGGCATCACTACAAACTCATACAGACCGTTCCTGGTCTGAAATGCAGTTTTGTGTTGGTCCTCTGGTCTTATGGCAATCTGATGGCAGCCGGATTTCAAGTCTATCTTTGTATAGTACTTACATCCCTGCACCCTATCCAATAGGTTGTCGATGCGTGATAGAGGCTCTGCGTTCTTAACGGTGATGGCATTGAGGCCTCTATAATCAATGCACATCCTTAGTGTTCCCCCTTTCTTTGGAACAAAAAGAACTGGTGAGCCAAAGGGGGAAGTGTTAGACCGTATCCAACCCTTTTCTGTGAGCTCTTTCAGTTGCCGACGAAGCTCGTCGAACTCGGTCGGAGCCATCCTATAGATTCTCCCTTTAGATGTCTTGCTACCTGGGATGATCTCTATGGCATGGACAACCTCCCTGTCTACGACTCCTGAGGGCTCCTCTAACAGATCAAGGTACTTAGCGACGATGGTCTCTATCTCTGGGGGTGTTTTAACGGCCTCCCCTTTTGCAGAGACATAGACTAAGTACATTCCTTCCTCTTGGTTCTCTTTATAATAATTATAGAAAGTTTATGCGCATAAGCACCCATAGGAGTCCATTAACCTACTAGCTTTGTACTTACCCAGTCTAACAGTTCTCCCACTAGGCAACTCGTGCTTCAACACCTTCTTGTCCCAGTCAAACTGGGGCTTGGCAACCTCGAGGTAGTATATGCCCAACAACATGTCAAAGGGCAACTCGTCGCTCACCAGGAATGATATCTTACGATTGATCTCTCCTCCTGGGTAGGAGAAGATGCGGACTACATCTTTAACGTAGTCCTCCACCATCATGCGCTCTTTGTTGGCCAAAGTAGATGCTACCGGTCTACTAAGGCGCTGCACCCGGTCCTTTAGGCACAGTCTGTCAACGTTTATGAAGTTCAGCGTGGAGCCAATGTCTACGAAGGTGCCGCACTTGCTACCACCCACATCAACTTCCACAACGAAGTGCTCCCCTCTAGGACCTCTACTCAGTGCCACCCAGGACTCACGAGGGTCCCTTGCCGACCACTCACCTTGAAGGTCCTCTAAGGCTTCAGACACATCCAACGTACAAAGTATAGTTGGGTCCGGATGCGTCTGCGGGGTGACTTAGGAGTCAATAGCTTTGGCCAACTCTTGAACCGGGGAGGGTACATCACCCGATTCAACGAGAGTAGAAACTGCTACATCTTCTACCGGCCCTAAGTGTTTCCCGAGTTGGAGCTCGTAGAGGCCCCAGACTGAGAAGAAGGAAACCCACCCTTAGGAGGGATCTTCTACGTGACCTTCGGGTTCTTGCATTTAAACTGCGTATGGCCGTACTCGCCACAGTTTATGCAAGCACCACGCGACCATCGATCTCACCACACTTCCTGATCCAAGCCAGCTCTAACCCAAGCAGCTATTTTGTTTGGGTTGGCGGCTTGCCCCTGACCCCTTTGTTGACTGCCCTTCTCGCGGCCTCCTGCCTTAGTCTTCACTACCGCGGCGAGGTTGCTACCCTCAACACTCTCCTCGCCGTCTAACTCTGTTCCCTCCACAAGCTCAGAAACATCATCGATCTCACTTTGATTCCCATCGGAATCAACCATCATCAATCGACTACCCTTCTTCTTCCACTCTTGTGGACTCTTCTTCCTTCTCCCGTCCGCAGAAGGGGTTTGAGCACTACCCAGCGTAGCCTCTAAGTCTAGAGCCTTCTTGTTGAATGTCTCAAACGTGTGATACTCTCTGCGAGCCTCGCTGGCTAATAAGTTCTTCATGTCTGTGGGAAGACATCTCAAGAACGTGGTCAATAAGACCTATGGATTGTACTCCACTACTGGGACAACCATCAGTCGATCTACGGTCGTGGTAAGCTCTCGCACTGACTAGTATTTCCTAGCATCAAGCTTCAATAGCCCATCAGTGGCAATTTGTGCCTGCTGAGGGTTGTGCCAACGCGCTTCCGCTAAGTCCATAAAGCTTTTTAGGGTGTGGGTCTGCGCCCAATCACCCATGTTCCTGCCGAAACCCTTTGAAGCAACCAATCCATTTAGCCAGTGAGCTGCTGAACCTTCTAAGTAGGATGCAACAGTTATCACTTCCTCTTCTACCAATGTCCTCTTTGCCCTCACCCACACTGGAACCGTTCTCAACCACGTGTCGAGAGCCTCATCCTTCTTGTCTCCTGAGAAGGTTAGAGGTGGTTTCAGAGAGTCTTGGGATACCAAGGAAATTGCTGTCCCGCTGGCGAGCAGGTGGCAACTGTGGTGTAGCACCAGTCGCTGGACTGGAAGATGAAGAAGCAACAGTCTGAGATAAGGCTGTTGCTGATGTACCACTTGGTTGTGGTCCAGACTGAGCGGCATAGGGGCCTGTCGTCGCTGAGAATGGCAGCAACGGCAAGACTACTGGCCTGATCCCTGGTTTGTGCATGGCATTCAGGATCTGGTCTAAGGTGTCTTGGATTGTATCCAGTTTACTGTCCATGTATGCGTGCATGGACAGGATGCTCGCCTTCAGAATCTTTTCATTGTTGCTAAGGGTCGAGTCATCTAACCCCTCTAGCGCAGCCTTGTCTGCCTCCCTACCCTCTAGCCTGAGTTCCTCCTCTAGCCTCAAACGGATCCTCTCGACTTATTGGAGCTCCATCTGCTCCCTAGTGCGTGGAGGTGGCGAGCTGAACTGCGAGCCCGCCATCTGACTAGTGCCAGCTCCTGACGTACTGGAGATGGACTGTGAACTGGTCGGCATGCCCAGCACTTGACCAGTTGAGTTAGCAGCAGAAGTTGCTGTCGAGGTAGCCATAGCTACAGCACTAGCTGCTGCTGCTGCTAACGCACGTTCAGCCGCAGCTGCTGCGGCTCTCGCAGTCTCTAGATTGCGGGCCCTTCTCTCGGCCCTAAGCCTTCTCTCGTCTCCTGGTAGTAGAACCTGGAACACAATAGGTATCCTAGCGGTATCCCGTCGTGTCTGCCTCCTATCGTCAGATCGATCCTCCCCACCGTCTGATTCGCTCATGGGCTAGGCAGACATTGTCTGCACTAATGTCCTCTTTGGAACCTACCGCAGCATGCGTCTGACCGGATCTAAAAATAAATAAATAAATAAATGTCCGGCGAGTTACCTAGACTACTAATTCAAGCGGCATCAACAGAACCTACACAAACTGTACACATTGTCTAGGTCTATCATGATTAGTTCTGCACAGAACTGACTATGGTAGATTACAGTCCTACTCTAGTCTGTCTGTTAGGTGTCAGCAGTCGGTCAACCAACTAATCAAAAATAAAACTTAGACTAATGAGCAGATGTATGCACAATGGAAATGGTAGTGATGTTCAGTTGAGTTCACAATTGGAATCCCCTTCCCCTGTATCCAACGTATCTATGAGCATCATCAAGATGCGGTGTCTAAGGTGTGCAACCACGGCCCACCCCTGTACCCAAGAAGTATGCTTATGACCAGCCTGCCCTTTATCTACCCTCGCGTGCAACAAGCCTTACGTCTGGCTGACCTGACTGATCAAGAGGCAATTTAAGGACAACCCCTAGAGTTCTACGGAATTCTTTAACGTCGCAATCAGGACGACGATCACAGCCAGTGGACAGTTCAAACCCCAACCAAAAATATTTATAGACGGTCTGGGAGCGTCTCCGTCGGACCGGTCAGTCCGCACAACCCTTCTATCAGCGCAGCAAAGAGCCTCAATGGACAAAAGCAACATGGCCTGCGTGTACTAATACCCATGGGTTGGCATGGTGACCATGACCCGTGCTTCAACCAGGGCCCTTCAAAGGCACCACCCTCTCCTGCCAGATGGGCCACCGAGAAGAATGTCGTCTCTCAAGATAGAGCGCACATGACTCCTCACCAAAGAGAGGACACTCAAGTTGGACTCACTTCCTCACGGTAAAAAGAGATTGAGAGGGTAGATAAGGAATGGGAACAACGTACCTGGAGATAGCTGCCCCCAACCACAGATTTCTCACCAATTGGGCCGACATGCATTTCGATGACCGGTGATTAGCCTCGGTACCACTCACAACGTAATGCAGTGCCACCTCAGCCAAAATGCCACGTCAGCATACTCTCATCATCATGCATACACCCGCTGTCGCCACATCTCCCACGCTGTCGCCACAGCCTTCCAGCGGCCGGCCTCTCCACCTAGGCCCCGCTAATCAACCAGCGGCAAAGTATCCTCACTGCACATGAAGCATCGTCAGTGCACCAAGTCACAATGTCGCAGGTGCCAGGTAAGCGGCGATCATCAACCAGCTCCGATACCAAATTGCAAGGAATATGAGTGTGAGCGATATACATAAAACCAAGTTGCGAAATCACACAGCTGAACAAGTAGTCGTGTCCCAAGCACAGAGTACAAACGCACCGAGAAAACCATCCGTATAGAGTAATACAATGAAGTAATGAGCCAATGTCCAAGCCCGTGGGCCACACCAACACAGTATCCAAAGTCGCTCTCTCCTGTCTGGCGCTCAACGCCCAGCCTACTCCACCTGACTAGCGTACCTACAGCCGGTTCACGCAACATGATCACTTCGACTATCGAAGACCAATGTACATGACTGCCAACACCATCGCCGGCCTCTCTTCATGTACGAGGTACGTATCTCGTCACCCTCAATCAGACCTTGATTACCCTACACAGCGCCTCCTTCCCTAAAGACCACCCGATCATTCGTTGTACCCCCTGGCGCCCAGCAGCCCGGCTATGTCTGCCAGCGCCTCGCTGCCTTGCAGCGCCCCACCTCACCTCTCGCGCCCCGTTAGCACCCTTGGCAGCAGCGCAGCATCAAGCGAGAGCGCAGCAGCACTTCCGCATTGCCAGCGCTGGCCAGAATGCCTGGCCTGGGCTGCTCTCTTGTTATGAACTTGGTTGCCTGACGATTTTTACCGCCACTCACACATAGACAGTCTCATACACACCCATACATGCAGAAGAGAAGGGGGAGAGGAGACAGAGTCCACACTGCACACAGATCAAAGTAGATAGCGGAAGCACAACCATGCACAAATGGGGAGAGGACACACAGTGTTTCTCACTCTCTGACAATACTCCCAACAACCAATCACAAGGAAAAACCTGCGAGGATAACAATTGGAATACACACTGATGATGAGCCAATTGAACCAAATCGTTGCAGTTTCTCGCCACCCAGAACTCCACACTCCACTCTCTATCCTACACCCAATTAGTAGCGCCACTGAATTGGCCTCCCAGAGGCCAGCGCCAACCACCCAGATGAAGAACAGATCCTGTGATGAAGTCTTCAGTGCCGCTGAACAACTCTGACGAAGAACCGGCAGCTATGGCTGTCGTCACCCACAAGGACTCAGTGAAGAGTCTCCACACAGCCCAGCCAATCGCAGAAACCCACAGGGGTTGATGCGCAGGGGATGCCCCACCTATGGCAAGCCCTCAACAGGGTGGCTATGGATGCTGTCCACAGTGAGGGTCTCAGGGTGCCGCCTGCAGACAATCGCCGCTCCAAAGCTCTCCTGGCTCCAAACGCTGGATCGCGAAAATGAACTGCCAAAAGTCCCAACCCGATTCCCCAAAACTATTAATAGCCTCTACTACTCTAGCCTAGACCTAGACCGGATTGACTGACTGACCGGTACTGTTTCAGTTTCGGCCTCTCAGCCTCTACCGGACCCGGCTATAGGCTATAGGACCGTCTATCAACTTAGGCCCTTAGGGCCTGTCTGTCCTAGGGGTAGCCCGGGCCTGCTAAACACAGCGAGGGTAGCTGTGGGAAATTTGAAGTACTGCTGGGCCTATTTTCCCATATTTGCAGATATGTCCCTCATGAATTTTCCTTACAGGTAGGTCTCTCGGTTAGCCCTCAGCCAAACAAAGTTACGAATCTAACCTACTGCTGTACTATACAGCCTCGCAGTTAGTCTCGGCAGTCGTAATCAGCAAGTCATTGCAGGCTTACCCCCTCGGGGAGCGAGGACCTCCGAGCTAGGGATGTAGACGAGGTGAACGGCGAGGAAGGTTACCCTTCTGAGCCGCTTCATATCGTAGAACAAATGACTCTGTTGTCTTGAGAAGTTCCCTTCCATAGAACCATCTGTTCTCAGAAGGAAGCTGGAATGCGAACCTCACAAGATACTGCCGATCGGGGCCTGTGCCCCACTCATCCTCAATCCATTCCACGTCATATCCCTTGCCAGGGATCGGTGGACCAAACTGAGGGGGCCGGTCAGGGAATGCATCAGCTGGGGTAAACGGCAACAACTTGGATGCATGAAAGACCGGGTAGGTTCGTAGATGCAACGGGATGTCAATGACATAGGACGGGCCAAAGGGTTCAATGCCCACTGTATCTAAGACCTGCCATGGACCCAGGTAACGAGGCAACAACTTGGGGGAGATATCCTCTTTCCTCGACAGCTCAGAGCTCGCTACCCAGACATAATCACCAGTGCGGATGGGGGAAGGCCGCCTGTTGTGGTTAGCTTGTTCAATCATGGCCTTCTGGGCCTTGAACAAGTTCGTCTGTGCTCTTTCCACATCTATGCGGTAGTGTCTGGTGAACTCTGCGGTGCCTGGAGTCAGATCTGACTTGGACTTATCGATGATATCATCGAGAGGCTGTCGTGGTTCACGTCCCCAGTGCAACCGATATGGACTGAACCCAGTCGAGGAATGGACAGACATGTTATACACAAGCTGTGCTCGAGCCAAGTGGAGATCCCAGTCCTGCTGATCTGGAGAGATGACAGGACGCAGAAATTGGAATAAGACTTGGTTCATCACTTCAGCCTGACCATAGGCTTCAGGAAGATGATCAGAAGTCATGTCCAATCGTGAGTGCAGATAGTCCTTATAGTAGGACTGCCACTCATCGCTGCAAAACCGAGGGTCTCTATCACTGACTATAGAAGTGGGCGGTCCATGGTGTGTGACCCACCTCTCTGAAAAGGCTGCTCTCACAGCCGGAACTATGGCCACTTCTGGCAAGAGGATGAACTCTGCGTATTTGGAGAACCTGTCCACGCAGACCATAACCTGACGCATGCCACAAGGGGTGGTCTTGCCTAAATCTGTGAAATCTATCGACACAGATTCGGCAGGGCCATCAGGTATGGGTAAGGGTTTGAGCAGTCCCAAAGGAGGCCTACGCTGGACCTTATTCCTTTGGCAGAGCTCTCAGGTTTCCACATAGCACAGCATATCACTCCGCATCTCCTTCCAAAAGAAGCGCTGCAACAGGGCTGCATAGGACTTTAGGAACCCAAAATGTCCACGGGCGTCATGACACTCTGACATCAGCAGTGTCATGAGCCGCTGGTCCTGGGGAATGCACAAGCGCTCCTCCCCTCTGCTGTGAGTGTACAACAGATCTGAACTCAGAGCATATCCTGGTTTAGAGTTAGGATCTGCTTGCAGATTCCTGACTATGGGTCAAAAAGTCGGGTCCTGAGGCAGTAGATGAGCGATGATCTGACGGGGCTCCTCTCCAAAGGAGTGAGTAGAGGAGATCAGTGCAAAAGAGTTAGGCTTACGAGAGAGGGCGTCTGCTACCTTGTTGCAGCAACCCTTCTTATGTTTCAGTTCGAAGTCATACATGTCGATGAACTTAATGTACCGTGCCAACTTATCATTCAGCTCTCCCTGAAACTTCATCCACTGTAAGGTGGAGTGATCTGAGAAGATCTTGAAGTGTCTTCCCAGGAGAAAGTGCTTCCAGTGTTTCACGGCACAGACAAGAGCATATAGCTCTTTCTTGTAGGTAAAGTCCTACAACTTTTGAGTCTTGATCTTCTTACTCATAAACTCTACAGGCCGTAGACCATTCCCATCATCCTGCTGAAGAACTGCCCCAATGTCATACTGACTAGTGTCAGTGGTCAGGATAAATGGCAAAGTGGGGTCAGGCAACTTCAGCACTGGTGCACGAGTCAAGGCCTTCTTGAGTCGTGTGAAGGCCAACTGACAGGGAAGGGACCAAAGAAAAGGAGTGTCTTTCTTTGTTAGGTTGGTCAGGGGTGCAGCCACTGCAGAAAAGTTCCTGACAAACTTTTTGTAGTACGAGGCTAAACCCATGAAGGACCTGACATCCCTCACTGTCTGTGGCTGTGGCCACTCCTGAATAACAGCAATCTTGGCTACTTCAGGAGCCAGGCCATCTCCAGAGATAACGTGACCCAGATAGATGACAGAGGGAACTCCAAAGGATGACTTCTCTCTGTTAATCTTATACTGGCTGTCGCGTAACGACTGAAGGACTAGAGCCAAGTGCTCCGCATGTTCCTTGGCAGTTCTGCTGAATGCCAGGATGTCATCCAGGTAGACAACCGTGAACTTGTCCAGGTAAGGCCTGAAGATGCGGTGCATCTCTGTCTGGAAGGTACGTGGGGCATTGCAAAGTTCAAATGGCATGACCAGGAACTCGTAATTACCATACCTGGTCTTGAAAGTTGTCTTGTAGACATCCTCCTCTGCCATCTCAATCTAGTGGTACCCAGATTTGAGGTCGACTTTGTTGAACACTGTGCAGCCCTGCACCATATCCAGAAGGTCATCGATCCTAGGAAGTGGCTCTGTACTCTTCCTAGTGATCTTGTTGAGACCCCTGTAGTCAATGCACATTCTCAAATCGCCATTCCCTTTGGGTACAAAGAGAACGGGTACACCGAATTCAGAAATGTCGGGCCTGATCCAGCCCTTGCTGGTCAGGGTCTCAAGCTGTTTTCTGAGCTCCTCGAACTCAGCAGGGGACATCCTGTAGACTCGTCCCTTAGGAGGGACTGCTCCAGGTAGTAGCTCGATGCGATGCTTGGTTGGCCGGTTGGGTAATCCAAAGGGC